GCTTTATGTGAGAGAGACCAAGTTTCACACTGCTGTAAGAGCAGCCAAATTATAATTGTGTACATTTTACCCTTACTCACTTCCATCTAATGCTGAGGTTACGAATGGTGGAGTCATAATTCCTCCAACATTTTGGTTTTCAGGCAACAGCCATAAAAACAAAGGATTCTGACTGAATGGTAGAAATTATTTCTGAACTTAATCTGCTCTTTAATTTTTCATGAATGGAATTTTTATTTGTTCCTTTCATTCCCAAATATGTAAACTATTTTCAACAATCTTCTAGAGCTTTATATTGTGGTTTAATTGTTTATTATGGTAAGAAATCATCAACATATACTTGGTTATCTTTGTATTTACTTCCTGATCAACCTATTTACTAACATTTTAATGTAGCTTCTGTACTTTTTATGTTACGTTTTCACCCAATAAATTGATACCATCGGCACGGACCAGAAGCTAATGTGTCCCATTAAATTCCAATCCCTCCTAGTGGTCTTTAAACTTCCTAATGGCACATTATGAAGCAGAGCTGAAAAGCAATGGTGACAAAGCATCTCCTTGTTTCACATCATTCTGAACAGGAAATGTACTGGACAAATTTTACTTACATAGCCTTTACTGCGGATTAGGTAGCAAGGTTCAGTCTTCTAGGTGCGTGACACAACTAACTCGTCATATATGTCATAGGCCATCTAATTCCTTATTACAAATAAATACAAATTTATCTCAAAATGGAATTATTTAGACAAAAGTGTAAAGTTGAGATTTTTGGTAATAAACAGTGATTTGACTCATGTGCATTCTGGCGGTAGCACCTTTGCTACTGCAGAATAAATTACGAGCACTATCTTACTAAGAAAACGTCTGATGAGAACAGGCCTAAGTAATTGATTCGGCACACTGCATTAACAAAGCAATTGTATGTCTTGAGAGTAATAATATAAACCTGTTTCTCCTAAACTTCATTTTGCTGTGGGGCCCACTTATCTTGAAGAAACTTGACAGATCCCCAGACAAAGTAAAATTAAATTAAGATTAGATGAGGTGGATTACATCCCAGTACAGTAAACCCTCATTAGAACAGACTAATAGTGGGGACAGGGTGTCCATTATCACGGATATCCACTACAACCAAGCAAAACGAGATTCACAAAAGTACACCATAAGATACATAGTCAATCTATGAAATAAACACAGACACACAAAATGTGATTACATAGAGGTTTTTATATTTGGGTTCCTTTTTTTATTTTATACTTTTCTTAACTACAAATGTTTCTTACTGCCTCAACATCTTTAAAAGAATTCAGAACTGTAAACAGCCAGATTTTGTTCATTATATCTGGGTCCATTATGAGGGTTTACTGTATAACTAAAATTAACTCCATGGAGCAGAGGCCTTCTTCAGATGCCACTAGTTGCTCAACTGCTGAAGAAATTTTATGGAAACCAAAGGTTCATGACCGTGTTCACAAGAGCCTGCCACTGGGACCTGCATTAACTGAAAACCAAGGGAAAGTCTAACTGAACACAGTGAAGCATGACATAACCAAACTGAAATCACTGATTATGAGTGAAGTTTACAGTGATCTGTTTGGTCTGTGGACCGTAATCTGACACGCTTCTGCAAACAATGAACTTGTACAATATTAGCAATCAACCACTACAGCAGACTCTGGTCTTTTGGGTTATGACACTACATAGTGTAGGTGGTGAGTACTAGTGTTTCAAAGGAACATACTGTCTCTCTTTTCTACACTAAAGATGTAGGCAAGATGTTCCTCTGAAGCAAGAGAATTAGCTTACGAGGCTACACGGTGTCATAAGCCATTACAATATGAATCTTCACCAACATGAAAACCTCAAATCCCATAAACACTATAACCATGCCATACACAGACATTCACAATAACATTTATACTCTAAGATTGTGACAAACAGATTACAGAACAAGTCTGTGAAAAATTTACAAAATTTGTACTACTGCATAATAGTACTACTATATTGTCATTAGGTTGTGCAGCATACACCTTACAAAATTTCCTGCATATAGCAATGAACTTAATTTGTTCCCAGCCATCACAGTCATGTTAAAGGAGGGCAATGGTGTAAGTTCCCCCTACAAGCACACAGTTCTCCATCCACTTCTCATCTCTGAGCACATATATTACTTAAGTATGAGTCAGGGAAAGAATGAACATCAGTGGTGTGAATTAAAGATGGCTGCCTGCCATCTTGAAGAAAGAGAGAGAGAGAGCCCAAATGAAAACTGGTGGGAGTGTGGGAAGACACACAGAGGGTAAGTAGCTGGTAAGCACATAGGTGGGAATGAATGTGTTTTCATTCCTACCCTGACTCAAGCACAGCGTTGTAATTTAGATTTATTATGAGGTATACTCCTTTATTCTTTATTCTATGGCATATGCTTCATTCTCTCACATTTTGTACATGTTTATACCCCAACATATATCTTGCTTCATATTATTTTGAGTACATTATGACATAAATTATAAGTTTATACAATTTAATTTCTTGAAGACTTCCCTTGTAAATGACATCCCTGTCTGCCCTTGTAGCTGCTCCACTGATGCAGACAGAAAATATTTTCTTATTTCGCTGGAAATTGAAAAATAAAATGCATTCTTTGGTTATAAAATGATCACAGAGCATGGGGCTGCCATCTGTTGACGACAAAATGAATTACTACTACAGGCTGAGTGCAACTTAACATCTTGGAGATGTTATATGGCTCTGTGGACCCTGTGGACACAGCAGCTGACCATGTCTTGGAAACAGAGTTAGTCCACAATGGGTTAAAGATGTGAAGTTCAGTAAAATCAACACTGGGGTCAGCATTTCCATACCCTAATTCTGTAATTGTGCACTGCATGTTCAAACCTGATTAACCATGAATGAAACATATTAAACTGGGGGTAAGATACATCTGGAAATCAACCATCACATAAATATATAAGCATGAAAGTAAAGTTATATTTGTGCTTAATTAAGCACTATGCCATGAAAAAGGATGGGGGAGGGGAGGTATAGGAGCACCATTCTTAACCTCAGCTCTTGATGCATGTGAATGGTCAGCCTCAACGGCTTCATCCCTGAGGAAACAGCCCCTAGTACCCACTGTACATTAGGCTGGGTGAGCCCCAGGGCTAGTGTGGATGCAACAGAGAAGAGAACAATTTCTTACCCTCACCAGAAATGGAACCCTGAAATCTCAAGTGTCCAGCACACACCATCATCACTATACTGACTGACCTATCACAGCTCCCATACATACACGAGAGATAGTTTCATATTATTATTGCAATCTATATGTTCTTATGAGTGTTTATACAAAATTCAGATTCAAATTGCACATGTATAAAACATCCTTCCAATGATAATTCCACCTAAAACCAGAATCTAGGAACAACAATCAAGGTGTGTTCCTGTAACATGTTGATGCCTAACATGTCTTCTGGACTTCTTTATCTTCTGTACTTTGCAGTGCACAATGATACAAGACAACTGGAAGATGATACTGGCTAACATGGGTAGAGATTTAGACCTAACACACATCAGACAGATACTGGGTGATTCACATTTCTTGGTTATAAAATGAGTTCTCTCTGAAGTTTTGATATAATTTGTAGTTGTAAAATATGGTGTTTGAAAGTAATCATTTGCGTCTGTGAAAGAACACCTCCTGTTCAAATGAGGGCCACCCATACTGCAATCATATTGCAATGGAGAATACATTTTAATATAAGATGTCCTTAAGAAAATGTGAACATATGCATGCAGACTGATCTGTACATATTTTCATTATGCTTCATACAGTTTCATCTGTGGCAGGCTGATACGCCTCCATCCAGACCATAAGTTTCTTCCTCTTTCTCCAAACTCAATTTTGTTGCCATTTCAAATGCTTATTCAGGATTCAAATTCCTAAGCAGACAACTTCATACAAGTGTTAACATTCTCTTAATCACCCCGTATTGACTTAAACAACATTAAATATTAATCTCATAGTAATATTCCAATGTTTTCAAGAGCATAATATTGCAGCAAAGAAAACACCTGAGCCATATCTGTGTTTAGCAGAGTGTATCCAATGACTTCATGCCTTTCTATCTGACATGAAACTCACGCATTTCACCTACTATCTTACATAACAGTAAAACAAATATACATCATGCAGCACTATTCACCTAATTCACACTACCATTATTTACATTTATATTTCAGCAGAACTCTATACATCAGTGTTCCCTTTTACACTCTCACTCTCGAAACAGAATCCAGTAAAAATTTGGCACAATTTGACATGTTGACAAGGAACTTGAAAATGTACCAACTTCCTGGATGAAAAGCTGTGGAGTCCATAGAAAGCTGATATTTCAGAGGAATACATTGCCTCCACAGTAAAGGATCTTCAGGGTTTAAGAGTAAACGAAGCAAGCAAGCAGCAAACCCTGAAGAAGGAGGCAGTAAATTCTTTTGAAATGTCAGTGGACTTCTATTGGACTACGCAGCATTACATCGCAGAAGACGGTGCTCTTCACAGTCACCACAGCCAAAACTGCAAATCCAAGAAAGTATAAAAATTGAAGACCTTCCATTTACATTGAAACTTAAACTTACAATTATTGAACTGTCACCAACATTCCATCATCTTATTTTTGGTCTAAAAACAAATCGTTTTGGAAGTTGGTTCCACATCGATCATCAGAGAGAAGTGTGAAACCTACCCTATTGTGTCCGTTAGAGTAATCTAACTTTATTCCTGGTTACGGGATGAGGTTTAAAGTACATTTCACACTTTTGCCCAGTGATAAAAGTAGAGGCAGCTTCAAGAACATTGTTCTTCAGCCACAAACAAGATGATACAATATGTCCAATATACACATCAGTTTACACCTTAATTGTAGACCTTTCAACTTAAGTTAACCGACTGGAAATCTTGAAGGGGAGGGGGACGTACAAAAACTATGAATTCAGAGTTCAATATTTCATATCTACATTATATATTCATAGTGGGTGAACAATAAACTATCTGAAATTGTAGGTGGAAAAGATAGTAACAACATTATTGTATCAGTCTAACCTTTCGATACTCCAGTAACTTGTATCAAACTAATGTTATTATTCACTTAGCACTGGCTTCTATATATACCAGTATTCAGATCACAACAATTCACCACTTTGGTGGCAATCACAACATTTTAAAACTGTGGAGTACCCAATGTACAGGTCCTTGTACCAACATTACACTTGTGCTTCAGAGAATGTTCGTATAATGATAGAGTTAACAAAAGCCACATTAACTGGAAATGTTGAGCAACTTTTGTGCTATTGGTCCCTTTGCTCAGTGGTTCCTGGCAATTCGCTGTCATGGTATTGAGGTGTCAGCAGCTGAAGACACTGTTACAGAGGGCAGAACATGCACTTGCTGGGCCTTGCTGCTGTTGTACACCTGACCTGGGCTAAACGGTTCCAGACGGGGGTGCGACGTAGTGTGGGAACCCAATTCAGGTTTGCGGTTTGGATCTGCAAAAAATGGTCCATATAAGGTAGGGGGGTTAAAACATTTTTGGTAATCAGGTAGTCAGACAAATATTTTGCTCTCAAGAAAGAGATGGATCAGTATTTTCTGGTGCCTTGCTGTGGCTGTCACCTCCGACTGGTACATCAAGATCCCTTTTTTCAGTGTTATTGCGCTGTTCATCTTATAGACCCACAGGTAAGGCACAAGATATTGGCCACATACACAAAAAAAGATTATTATAGCTTCTTAGTTATGTTGATAATAACGTCTTTAGATGTTGTATATCACTTGCTTTCTTCCACAAGTGTNTTCAGTGTTATTGCGCTGTTCATCTTATAGACCCACAGGTAAGGCATAAGATATTGGCCATATACACAAAAAAAGATTATTATAGCTTCTTAGTTATGTTGATAATGTCTTTAGATGTTGTATACCACTTGCTTTCTTCCACAAGTGTCTTAAGTGACACTGCCAGAACTTCAAATGCTGAGTAGGAAATTAGTTGCCAGTCAAAAGTTTTTGGTTGCTACCTGTGATTAGGTGACCATAGTTTTCAATACCCGATATAAGGGTCTGTTTCTTGTTTTATATAATGACACTGTCAGTTGGCCTTAATGTTACAATTGCAGGAGAGATGGTTCATACTGCCATCTTTAGGGCTATGATACCATACTGCAGACTGGTAGGTGGACAACAGTTTGAAGAAACATTCTGCATACATCTTAGAGGTCAACTTGAAGCTGTGCATTCATCCAGAAATGTGCCACATGCCACACTATGATATGGAGTCATAAACCTGACGACCAAAATGTGAATATTTGTTACTTGCTCTGTGTAGATTTCATACTTACAGATGACAAATGGTTACTTAAAGACACAACTGGTGCTGGGATTTATAACTTTAGTAGAAAATTTCCTTCAAATGAAACTTGTTCAGAAACTGGGAATAACTCTCATAAACCCACATTTTCACAATTTGCAAATAATGGCTTTATTCAAATATAAATTTAACATTAGTTAAATGTGACCATATATATAAAACATAAATAAAAAACTTATACGTACCTCTTGAGTAAGTCTTCTGATCTGCAGGTATATATTTAGAGAGCCTTACCAATGGTAATGGAAGAAACCCACCAATCAGAGGCATTACATCCAACGTAACATTCTGCTTGTCTACACTGTCTAGTGAAATAACACCTGCAGAAATAAATCCCATAACAGAATACAAAACATTCCAACATGGTCACTACAAAGCTGCACTTTGAAAATGACTTTTAGACAAAATTCTAATCTAAGAATGCAGTATCAAGTTGTGTGAGTTTCAAGAGTCGGACCATACTGTTCATTTCAGCAGATGATTCAGAGCAAGAAAGCCCAATGGCATGGGAATACAGAGTAAGGGTAATGAAGGCATACAGTGAAGATTACTGTTTTCTGGGATGTGACACCATGTAGTCTGGTAGATTGTTACCGACGTTTCAAAGGAACCTATTTCCTCCATCTTCAGGGAAGAAGAATAAGGTTCTCTCAGTGGTGACCACGAAGATTATCATCCTCCAGGATATGGTTCTGTGCAGTCTGGTACATTTTTACCACTGCTTCAGAAGAACCTGTTGCCTCAATCATCAGACAAAAGGAGATTCTCATAGCAGTGACTATGAACAGTACAATCTTCTGGTATATGACACTGTGCAGTCTGGTAGAAGTTGGCCAAATCAAAGAGTAAGTTATATGAAACAGTAAGATTTGAGGCTTTCACGGCGGTGACTATGAAGAAAGCTGTCTTCTGGGATTTGGCACCGTGTATATGTGGTGTTAAGCGACGTTTCGGAGGAACAGTCTGCTTTTACCGGTTCTCACGGTCTCTCCGCTTGCAGAATTCTTATATATTTTCTTCTACCCTGAAGATGGTAACTGAAACGTCGGTTAACACCACATATACACGGTGCCAAATCCCAGAAGACTGCTTTCTTTATATGAAACAGGTTGGAGAGCAGGCTAATGGAGAAGATGAATGTAGTTGCCCTTCTCAGGTACTCTTACTCTTGCCTAAATTTCAAGGCCTTCTGTTATTTCACAATTCCCATTTTCAGGACCTAGGGTTTCCAACTGTCTTACCCAGAGCTCTGTCTTCTCTTCCCCATCCCTGGCCTTGATTTGTCAGGTCTTGCTCTGTGACACAGTCTTCCCAAGTCTCCTATATAATCTTCCCACATCCCAATTTGATTCATTTTTACCCTCAAGATCCAGACAAGAAGTTCCTCCACAAGATTAGTAACCAGCTACAAGACTACACGGTGTCAAAAGCCACAGGAGATCAGTCTGAATGAAGGAGGCACACTCAGGATGGTGTAGCAGACAGGACAGTAAAGGAATCATGATATATTCATTCATGGCGTTATATCTCTTTTTTGGGCCCTGGTCTCTTCTTCAGTTTTGTAATCTTTTTTACCCAGACGGTAGGACTCCTTGGATGAGTGATCGGCCCATTGCAAGGCTGCTACCTGCACATAGGACAACACAGAATACATGCACACACAAATATCTATTCTTTGAGTGGGATTCAAACCCACAATCCCAGCATTCAAGCAAGTGAAGACAGTTCATTCTTTAGACACTGCAGCCACCATGATCAGCAACCATGATATATACTAAGGTAAAATCTCCAGTAAAATAATGTAAACCTCAGTCAGGAGGACTCATGACATGGCTAGGATCTGAACCAAGTACTGTTCTTCCTGAACACAAATGTGAGCTTGAGAACCAGTATCTTCAGCACAGACACCGAACCTACCGGCCGTTCTGCCGCACACAGCCCACATGGTTTGATCTGCCAGCACCTCATACATCAGCGAACTGTGAGAGCTGGCACCGACTCGTTGTACATGAAGTTGAAGGTGGCACATTGTTCCAGCTCGACAAAATTCGTTGCCTTTCGCTGGTTCAACACGAGATTTCACCACAAACAATGTCTGAGAGCAGAACAAAATAACATATAGTGAGGCTCCATCCAAAATAAACTGCCTCTGACATGGGATGCAATGCAATGTAGTTCAAAATTCAATTTCTTCTGATACATCATCTCAAAAAATGATTAAAATACTGACATTTTAAAACATCGTGGTACAGAAACAGAGAGCTGTAGAATTTAAATCCACCAAGCTGGCCATGTCATGGGATACTTAAATTCCCCCTAACCTTACCATGAATGTTATTATACTTAATATGCAACTAAAGGGTTACAATACAATACATATACCTTATAGTCATTGATTTCAAAGTTGCAGCGGTATATTCGAGTCTGGCTCTCGCTGATGAGTTTTGTGAGGTTGATGATTGGACTGTAATGGACTGTGAATTCAGTCTTGATGGGACATATGTCCTCCATATTGCCTACATCCAGCTGCCACATGAAGGATACATCCATGCCATTGCCAACAATCTGAAACAAGCAGCACATTCCTGCAAACACGACAGAGAGTGTTTCAGGACATCAGTAAGAGTGAAAAGGTGTTGGGCACCACTAGAATATTCTCTTCAGGGGAGGACGGTGAGACTTGCTTACAGACTTAAGGTTCATTCATCACCCTAGAGGATTCAGGATAAAAGGACGATTCTGAAATACCGAAATCCCAACACTGAAGCAGATGTCACAAAATTACAACTCTGTCCAGTGTAGGTTATATGGGAAAGTTGTGTTTTTATGTTGGTACTACACAGATGTTTCATTTAATTCTTGTTTTTTTTTTAACATTTGTTAGGTCCTAGATGGTATATAAAATTTTTTGTCTGCTTTAATTTATTTCTTTGATACTCAGTGTGTCTACATGTATTTCTAATCTTCATCTTATCTCTGATTTTAGACGTTGATAGATTAAGTTCTATTTCATATTACTTTCTTTTTTAAAATTTGTCTGTTTAGTGCTGGCTTCTACTCTGTTATTACTTTGATTTTATGGACTCTGGCTGTCAAATTATGCATGGCCACACATGAAAAGCCTCATGTATATGGAGTTTTGTAATTTTTGTCTCAACTCCCACTGACAGTTTATGCTGTGTTTGGTTAATATGTCCCGTTTTGGGTTGGTTCTGGTGCCTGGATATAGAGACTAGCTCTATCGACTGGGTCAAACCGAGTAGGCTTTCATCTGAGGACAGAGTCAAGTCTCCAAAATGTTGTTTTTATATAAAAAGTCAATAACTGTATTGATATGGCACTATCACAGATTTTTATATCTTATTTACTTCTAACTTGCTATTAATATCTAATAATAATACATAGTTCACTTGTAGATTACAGGCCACACAGTTTGTTTTATTAATATCTAGCACATTTTGTTCTTTTCTTCAATGCTTATTTTTTTAAAGATATCTGCAAGTGGATGTTGATGCCTGCCATGTGTTCAATAGAACAAAAACTTGCCAGTTTCTGCCCATTGGTTGGGTTAAGGGATCCCAGTTTGATATCTTCGTTTCCTGTGACAGTGAGTGTTGGTTCACTAAGCTCCAGCATTTGAACGTTAAGTCCAACAACAACAATCTGCACAAACTTGCGTGTGTGTGCAGTATGAAGGCGAAATGAAGACATTAATGGTGGCTGGAAGTGGAGTATGATGTTCTTTTCTTCAGGTGTCCAGGGACACTGCAAAGTTACCTGTAAGGGAGACAAATTTATGTAAGATTTGAAGCTTTCATGGTGAATGAATGTATAAAAATCTTCTCTGGTGATCTGTGTCAAAGTTGAGATGAAAATAAACGTTTCAAAGACCTGCTGTCCTCATCATCACAGTAAACATCAACACAGCAAGTTTTAAAAACTCAAATTTGATGCAGATGAAGATTTTAACAAAGATACAGCTTGTTTAATCAGATCACCAAGAATATTAGTAATTAAGAAGCAGGAAGCTCAGAACATAGAATTTCTGCTTTGGTTTAACTCTGTGACATGAGAGTGTCATTTGGCATTTCATTGCTGTTAGTACAGGAACTGTCTCTAGTAACGGTTCTTGAGTTATATTTTTCTGCAATATACGTTTTAATTATTCTTTCACCAACTTCACAAGCACTTTAACAAATGTGCATTAGTACAGTTAAAAAACATCTGTTTCTGACAATTCAACAGCGCAAACAGAAACACCTCCATGATTTAATAAAATTCCTAAAAATAAACCTGCATTTTTATTTTCTTTTGAAGAACTGTATTAAAAATCTTTTACTTCCTTAAATTTGTTTATTTTTTATTATCACATATATTTTATGTTATTTAATTAAAACATTTCTGTGTAACCTTTTCTCATGTTTTTTCACTAAATATATTGGAAATAGGTTATGGTGGAAAAAATTAATTTTATCTCCAACACTTGGAAAATCATGATCCAAGATGTGCTTATCGCCTTAAGCCCTAAGATTCAGGAACCAATTGGGAGAGTCACAAAGATCTCCTCTGTGCATCTGTAGCCATACACTAAGTACAGCTCTTTCTTGTGCCTAAGTACAATACTATGAAGGTACATAAGCAGAATGAAAATAAAGCTCTACACATTCTTAACCTCAGCACAAATTTGAAGTGGGTGGTCAGCTTCATGCTCCAACTGCTTTATCCAAAGAAAGCAATATGAATAGGGCTGAACCAACTCAAGATGCAGATGAAGGGGGAACTGTTATGATAGGGTTCTTGAATTGTGATGATACAGAGACTTAGCTAGTATGTTAAATGTTTGCCAGACAGTAGAAGTGAGAGGGTCCAGACTGAGATGGCCAAAAGATGTAGAGAATGATTTACGACAGCTGGGATTGAAAAGATGGGGGAAAGAGGCAAATAATACATAACAGCCAGAATATGTTGTAAAGGCTGTCAGAGTATCATACAGGAAAGGATTAAGTACATAAATAGCGGCCTCCATAGTCTAGGGGTAACGTTCCCACCTCATGACTCAAGGTACGCGGGTTGAAACCTGGTGGAGGTCATGGAATTTTTAAGGGCGGAAAAATTCAGGGAACAAGGCCTCCAGAAGGGACTTTAAGCCGTGGGTCCCATGTCGTAGATTTACGGCACGTAAAAGATCCTCATGTCTCTAGGAGACCTCTGAGCAAAATTAGGCAAAGTTTCCCGCCAAAGTAGTTTCCACTGCCTCCGGTAGATGGGGGAAGTATCGGGTAACGAGGGCCGATCTCGTTGGCTGAACGGGGCTGATAGCAAGCACCAGTACCGGAAGGGTATGGTGACTGGTAGAATATCAAAGGGGGACGTATAACAGACTATTAGTCGCGGTGCATGGGGAAACCCACCCCCTCCAATAATAATAATAATAATAATAATAATAAGTACATAAATAGTGTAAACACTTGCTTTGTGTTCTGTGATGCTACCATCTTTCTGAGGTGGAAGCTCCGCTAGTACACGCAGAAGAATTGACAGAGTCTGAAAAGGTTCCGACTGGGGCAAAGGCACTTCCAAATCCCTAACAAGAGATTCTTCACTCGATTTCACTTGCATCTGCAGACCTCTTGATGTGCGAAGCCTTAAACTTGTATCCTGCAAGGACATGAAATGTACAACTCAGTCCTTTATTCCTCTAAAGCACAGTGGTAATTATATGTACCACTTTCTTCAACATTTAAAAATTATGAATCTTGTCCACAGAAGATCGTTATGGATTTCATATAATTCTCAGAATAAAAAACGATTATTTCTCTAAACCGTATTATATGATTGTAATTGGGTCACAGCTACTTTCTGTGAGGCAGGAAGTAAATTTTTAAATATGTATTAAGTCATGCTTACAATTTTTAATAAGATATCACATGTTTCCAACATAACAGAAGTCAGATGTTGGCAACAGTGCTAGAGACTTTGCCATATTTACAGTACGCATTCCATTTTGCAGTTAATTTATTTACTTGTTCTGAAAACTCAACATGAAAACTGAATGTCCCACAAGTTAAGATTTAACAGAAAGAGGGATCTTGCATACAACATACTCTGGAACACATAAGCCAGGTAGCTACCTCTCCCCCACACACCCCCCCCATTATTTCTTGGAAGGGGGTATCAAAATTGAAGAAAAGGAAACATACCAATAACTAACAAACTTCAAAGAGCTGAGCCCTTCTTGAGAAGCTGCCAATTGTGTAGCAACTCAAGAACTTCCCAGCATTTTACAGAACCCAAAAGTTCATTACTGTGTTCACAAGAGCCCTCCACTGGTCCCTATCCTCAGCCAGATTGATCCAGTCCATACCACCCCATCCTATTTCTCTAAGACCCATTTTAACATTGTCCACCCACCTACATCTTGGTCTTCCATACACCCATACAGAACTACAGGAAAAATTATAGTTTGTATATTATAATTTTTTTTAGACAGCAGATGAGAACCAAAAAGGTAGCATTACCCAAATTCAATCTTCTCTTAAATTTTGATTCATTACTGTCAGGAAACATACCAACAGTAACACCAATTAAAAGAAACAATCCTTCTATAATGGATATTGAAGAACAATGAGTAAAAAGTGTTAAGTGACTTAAACTTTAAGTCTGTAAGCAAATTTCCTAGCTGCTGGCAATCAATGGTTACTAGTGTCATGCATTTTTATACTTCAAGAAAGTATTTACCTTTGCAATAGCATAGCTGCCTGCACAAACTGTTAAGACCATCTCCTGCTCGAGACCTGCCAGCAGGTCTTTTTCTCCCTTGTTGAGCGTCAGAGTAGATGGCTCTTTCATCACTTCAAAATTCACACGTGGGCTGATGGCACTCGACAGAAACTCCAGATTGCTTGACACCAGAAGGGACAGCTGACAGAGCCTGTACAAACCTTTCTCCTGTGCCTTTGTTGTGGAAAGAACAGCCCAACATCAATACAGATATAAATAAGTTTGAGGTCTACCTGGCTGGAGTACTTTGGGTCCTTTAAGGGATCTGATACAGTTAGGTAAAAGGTAAAGACGTCCCTGCAGTTAGTTACTTAAGCACTATACCATGAAGGCATATGGGGGAGTGGAGGCATAGCTCCATTTCTCTTTACCACAGCTCTAGATGGAAATGAGAGTTCAGCCACATGACCCTGCTGCTTTAACACCTCAGGAAAGGGCTCCCAGTACCCTTTGGTGCATATTTCAATTACTCCAACAGAATATGGATTCAAAATTTGAATCACTTAAAAGAGTTACATCTTCTAAGGTAGAATGCCATGTAGTCCAATGAAAGTCAACTGACATTTCAGAGGAATATACCACCTCCATCTTCAGGTTGAAGAGTAAGCAAAGCAACAAACCTGCATGAATCAGGCAGCAAGCAGCATCTGATATTATAGACTGAAAAATACCTCATGTAAACAGGCATAGCTAGTCATAATGAATTCTGATATACCTTTGCTTTCACCATGAATTCATTCCTTCCAGGTTTAAGTATAATATTCTCCGATAGCAGTGCTGATGAAAAATCTCCTTTTGGCGTGTTTGATATTTTTTTGTATTTCCCATGACTATCTGTCCGCCTAAAATTAGAGAAACCTCAATGAGGAAAAGAAATGTCTTCAGTAAATAAGATATAAAAGTCAGGACATGGATAATGCCAAAAAGTTGATCACTGTATATGAGAGTCTTTAACATTTTCTGTAATAGTACAGGGTGATTATTTAGATACAAAATATGCACCAACAACACTTAAAAGTAAGAGGATATGGTATCTCTTGTCATACAAGTGTCGTATAGAGTTGATCTAGACAGTGCAGCTGACAAGACATGTGGTCATTGCTCAAGATACTCCACTTCCAAAAGAACGCACTTCTTCCATAATTTTGGACAGTTTCATACACATGTTTCAAAGAAATATTTCAGTCAATGTCAACTGCATTTTTCGCTCCACTGCCCGAACTTTGATTTTTTGTCTATTTTCCTTATTTTGAATAAACAGAAGGAGGCTTATAAGATAATTTTGCTGTCTGTGTCTCTCTCCCCCTAACACTGCTAGGCAACAGTTTGGCAAACAGGTTACTGCAACAGTGAAAACACTTGCAACAACAGAAGAACTGCTGGATGCAGTCTTCTGTATGCAGTCCATATCAATTATTCACTATGTAGTGAAAGGAATATAGGTGATCAGTTCCTCCCAGAAATTTTCGTTTGTCCCCCAAGCCTCTTTCAGCAGCAAAAATGAGTAACAAATCACAACTAAGGCAGATGGGTAGGAATATACTACATCACATGTAAATTTCCAGGTTTTTATTACAGTGAGTGTCTACAGAGCAACCATCAGGTTGTGGCACTGTGTATTATTGTAGGTGGATTCCATCGTCTCAGAGGAATATTCTGCCTCCATCTTCAGGGTCAAAGTAATTCTGGCGAGGAGGCAGTCAGCCTGGACTCTGTCTCCTCTGCCTCTTCTGTGGATATGAGTGAGAGCCCAACAGTATGGGAAGTGTGTATATGTTACAGCTAAAGTGACTGATCTGGTTACTATGAACAGTATCCAGAAATTATAAAAAATCCTCAGCTGTGAATTATATCTTTCATAATTGCCAGTTAATCACTATTACCCTAACACACACACAAATCTTGACCACATATTGTAAAGGTAAGTTTGTTACACTGATGTATATGTTACAAAACTCTTGACAAGCTCAGGGAAAATGTGAGCAGCCGCCATAAGTACACGCCATCTTACCGCAGGAATTGCTTCGGGTTTTTTGAGACTATGCTAGCAGAGCTGAGGCTCTTATCTTGCTTGTAGTCCAGGTGCTCCACCATGTGCAGCCTCGCAAGTGCTGGGTTGGCAGGTTTCACCTCCTCACTGTTGCACTTACTAACAAAAAGACAGCCTCATGAGCAGATACCAGCAGGACATAACAAAGTGTGATGGTTCTTGCAAGGTCAGTACAAATCCAAGCTTTCAACTGGTATTCAGTTTAGGAGTTAGGACTGCAATCTACTGGGATGTAATGCTGAGTAGACTGATCAGACTATGTAGCATTGCAAGCAAGTAGACTGAAGTCTTCATATCCAAAAAACAAACTCCATGGCCTGTAGTCTGCAGGCAGACTATACCAACCGAGCGACCACTGCTTGTCGGCGAAGTTAGTGCCAATTATTGCAGAAAGAGGGTGTCACATGGTCAGCATAATGGTTCCCCATGCCGTTAATCTTGGTTTTCTAGACCAAGTCTTGATATCCACCACTGTGGAAACCATGATCTCATTTAGTTTAGGAGTTATGACACATAATTTAAAAATTGTTACTTTTAAAAGTGTCCATGGGAAACAGGAGGGGCGTGTTGGACTTCCCTGCCACATACAGAAATACATACATACATACATACAGAAATGCATGTTTTCTTTCTTCTCTCTTGCTTTATTAGAGAAAAAAATTCTAGGCTAGTCTAGTCTACAGTCTTCTGGACTGTAATACCATGTAGTCTGTTGAAAGTCAACTGACGTTTTGAAGCAACATGCTGTCATGTCATGCTGGTTTCTTTTTAGCGTTACTCTTTAGGAGGTGACACTCTTAATAGTATGCATCTTGTTGTGTGTTATAAACAAGGTGCATAAAATGTATACAAAAGTATGCAGTTTACACAACAGTATCCTGTATTTAAAACAAAGTAGATACCATCATAGCGACATTTGTCTTTATTGACACAACATGTTTTGACCCTTATACTGGGTCATCATCAGGCATACAATGATACCAGACAGTTGTTGAGTTGCATCTAACAATTTGCATCTAATTCTTCAATGTTTTTAAATGCATAAATTGAGTCTTTCAGTTAAAATTTCAAATATTCAGATACTAAAATTTAAAAATTAGAGACTAAAGATTAAAACATAAAAAGTAAAATTGTACTAAAATGGAAATGAAGTATTTTGCAATAAATCTCTTTAAAACTTTGCGGTGACACATTTCTCCGATACACTGACTGACTTTCAACAGACTACAAGGCATTATATACCATAAGACAGAACTCTTCATAACCACTGCTGTGATAACCTCAGATCCGATACATTCAACTCTGCCAGAATGTGGACTCTGGAATACACCTACTTGAGGTGTTGAGTATCTCCTGTGATATTTTGTTGTGACTGGACTGACTGCCTTTTCCCACCACCACTCTGTCTTCTCTCCGCAGGTGGTTCTTGTGAACGAGAATTAGGTAAATCACTTTGCTTCTTTCCATCCTTAGTCCCTTCTAAAGAGATGGCAGCTCGGACACAGTGGATCTGCTTCGGAAAATAGCTCTCAATCACAACAATCACTTCTACTGTTGAGTCTTGTATAATGACTTTATTGCTGCCCTGCCTCACTTCCACCTTCACTAATTTAAATGCATCAGCCAATGATGTCATCAGAGGTGACTCTGAAATATCAAATTACAATTCATATTGAAAACATAACAGCCAATATATTTACGATGGTATAGTAATGGGCTATAGGCGGGATAGCCAGGTTCAATTCCTGGCAGAGGCAAGAGATTTTTCTCCTCTCCACAGCATCCAGACTAGGGCACGCGGTAGTGTAGTTGGTTGAGGCACTATGCTACAAGCCGGGAGGTTGTAGGTTGGATTCCAATGAGGTCACTGAATTTTTTCAAAGCACCTAATCCTTCTAGCCATATTATGGCCCTGGGGTTGGCTCAGCCTCTAACAGAAATGAGTACCAGGAAGATTCCTGGGGGTAGCAGGCTGGCGTTTAAGGCTGCATCAACCTTTCATACCCCTATGGGCTTTCACAGCCTGTTACAGGGAGAGCTTTACCTTTTCTTTTCTTAACCACAGAGGTTTAGACTGGCTCTGGGACTTATGGAATCTACTATCCAATGGGGACTGAGGTCTCTTCCCCTCAAGGTAAGCAGCTGGAGCAAGAACCTGACCATTCATCTCCGTCCACTGCTGAGGTCAAGAATGGTAGAGCTATACCGCCTTTCACCCATATGGCTACTGGAGAGATAATCATCTCAATGCCATAACATCTTTATAGGATATAATATGAACTCTGAGGAATTGAAATATGTACCAATTCCCAAAAAAACAATTATTTTTCAAAAATAACTTTATCATTAACCACAGCCACATGGAAAACAGGATGAAAAACTGGAATTTACAGGCCTGATGGTGAAATGTTAATGAAGTGGCAATATTTTTTTCATTTTTGATTCTGTGTTGATTAGAAACCCCTTCAATTACAAATAACTTTACAAGAAAACACATTTTTATTTGCAACTTCTTGCTTTTTTACAAGCTTCTTTTACACATCAATTTATTTTATTTATGTACAATTTTTCTGATGTCATCAGTAGCTCTGAATGTATATAAAATGGTAATAATAATGAATTGGAAAAGGATGTGTAAAGAAGTAGCCACTATCCCAGCATTTGCCTGGAGGTACAGAAGAAAACCACAAAAACTGTAGATCAGGACAGTCATTGTCCTTATGAAGATCCTGACTAGGAATCTCCGGAATATGAGTCAGAAACATTAACACTTGGCCAACTTCCATTTAGCTTTTACTTTAAACACAAAAATATAGTATCTTACAGCCATAGTGCTCTGTCAGTCATGTCTCTCAGCTGCTAAACTGCCTGAAGAATTTTGCTGAAAATATTCTTAAAATGTACTGACAAAATATGAAAACATTTAACTGTATCCTCTGATGATTTGTTTCCACGTCTATTATGATACAATGATATGAAAAAATCATAAATAAACCTTAATGCTAGTCAGTAACGACAAATTTAGATCATGACACTCCTCTTTTTCTTTGTGTTCTTATTTCTTATAATGGCTTAAAATGCAAACCAACTTTCTGTGATTTTTGAGATGATGTCTCAATAAAATCTGTCAATCCTACTTTTGCTTTATGCAGGCCCTGGAGCTACTGCAACAATCACTTCCCCTTAAATCTGGGCCTGCAGATATGTTTCCGCTGCATCAACCTATTAAAGCAGTGAATCCCTTCATATGAAGCATAACAATATTACTTTAACTACTCTTACCTGTCTGCAATTCCTCCAACATATTCACCATTTCATCAAAATACATAATTCTTGTAGACATGTCTAACTCGGGAGCACTGGCAATCATCGCACTGGTTTTGATAAACCTATAAATAAGAAAGATAAAATGTTAATAGTGAGAGTGTCATAAAAACCACTGAAAAGAACATGATACATGAAACTCTACTGGATCTGGGGTTCTCAAAACAGTGAGCATATCGAGCACTATCTTCTGGGATGTATCACTTCCCAGAAGTAAAGTAAAAGTAAAGGTACCCCTTTAACGGGCTGTGGAGGCCCATAGGGTTGTCAGATGTTGAGACTCCCACATTTTATAGACAATCGGCTCGCAGATGGCAGTGAGGTTGTCAGCCTTATGCGCCGGCCGCCTTTTACCCCCATGAATATTCCTGGTACTTATTTCTGTTAGAGGCTGAGTTGGCTCCAGGGCCATAGTGCAGCTGGAAGGATTAGGTAAATTGAAAAAATCCACCTCATCAGAATTCGATCCCGCAACCTCCGCTTGTAGCATACTGCCCCTACAAACTACGCTACTGTGTGCTCCCATCACTTCCCAAAGTACTCTTCATATGTACGAAGCTGCTAAACGACTCAGTAACTCTGGTGTGAAGATGTTTCTTATGGAGTTGATAGTCATTTAACAGGCCACAAAATTCACAGTCATGTAATCCAAACATTCGATGCTACCACTGAATCCATATCAAAGCAAACTAACATAGCAGTCAATATACTGAATAAGCAGTCGAGGACAGCTTTGAGTGACACCTACCTCTTCTTGTCGTCCATTTTTCTATAACAATCGGCTAATTCAAGCTGTGTCTGTATGGCAAGGTGTTTCCAGTTTTCTTCTTCAAAAGTTTTCAATGTGTCAGTGAGAAACACAGCAGCTTTCTGCATCTCACCGAGCTGCACGTAAAATCCTGCTAAATCTCGACCAATCGCACGTGCGGATCTAATCCGACCTATGTGTTTGTAAGTCCCCATGGCCAGTTCAGCTAGCTCCTACAAAACAAAGTGACTTAAAACTGTTTTCATATAGTCAGGACAGAACAGTGGATACTGTAAATATCATGATAAGAAATAAGACATACAATACGCATCTCATATGATATACAAACTTGCCAGGTAATGTTTCTTGAAAGCTTCTTTTGATGAAAGTGCTTCCTTCAATTTGTCTGTGGGTGTAGGCTGTTTGCTATTCCCCTGAGAATCGCCCATACCAGCTGACAGACCAACAACTATGTGCAACTGCTCACTGGTTGGCTCATTGCCTGGCATGAGTCCACAGAGCTCGCCTAAGTCACGCAGCTAGGAACACAAGTTATATAAAAATTATGTTTTTGGCTCTCATGAAAGTAACTGAACTGTGCACGATCATATTCGCCATACTCCAATACTTTTATATAAAATCATGAATGAAAAGATATCAGAAAAGAAATTCTTTATACAACTGAGAATGGAGAAAACCAGTCCTTTCTTTTTACAGTTCCAAAGTTATGTATAGAAATTGAGCTTAAGTACTGCAGGATACACCGACGTACAGAGGAGTTAGATGCTCATGACTTTTGAGTAGACACCAGTTGTACATATCCTTGTGTTCACAGGAAGGTCAGAGGCTTTTCTCCAGACCAGCTCTCTGGTCCACCCAGCCTCCTATCCAATAAGTACTGGAGGTTTTCCCCCTGGGGTAAACTGGCTGCCCACTCACCTCCATCTAGTGTCAACATTAAGAATGCCTGGAGCTATAAGCTCCACCTAAGGGAGGCCGCACGCCAACTGCCTCAAGACAAGCAAGACATGAGACAAAAGACGCAGTTTGCTTCATTCGTGATTCGACAGCATGAAGCTGATATCAGCATCACGACTCAAACCGGTGTGCAGCGGTTTTCATAATCTCATTCGTTTCAACCGCACTCCTTTCTTTGCATCATGTCGCAGACAACGTGTCTTGACTGTCACATGTCTTGACGCATGTCGGTGTGCGGCCTACCTAAGGCTTCATGGCATTGTGCTTAATAAAAGGAAGTGATCATGGGCTGATTTGAGATACTATGTACACTGACTCTTGCCTGGACAGACTGGAGAACACTATGAAAAATCAGTTAGTACAAGTGGTCTCCACACTGAGAAATGTAATAGCAACTCATTTCTAATTCAACCTATATGAAAGAGATACACCAATACTTGTCCATGAAGAGGAGTGGTACATCAGCTAATCCTACCTTGTCTCGAGCATATGCCCAGAGACTTGCAGTGTAAAGTGAATATGCCTCTACTTGACCACTGTCATTGAAACGTTCGCAAGTGTGTAAAACCTCCAGGCAGCAGAGGAACACCCAGCATGCAATAGCCCCTGGTGGGGCAGCAATCTCAAGAATTCCCACTTCCTTGATGCAGTTGTGAAGAAATGGGAGGGACCGCTGAGCTATCTGAAACAAACATTTTAAAACAGAATATAAAACAGCAAGAGAAACAAAACAGAAAGGCAAGTGACATAATATATAAAGGTAAAGTTATCCTCGTGCTTAACTAATTACATACTATGCCATGAAGGAGTATGGGGGAGTGTATGTATAGATCCACGTTTTTTTGACCTCAGCTCTAGTTGGATGTGAGTGGCCAGCTTCACCCCTGGGAAAGAGCCCCAATACCCATTGAATAGGAGGCTGGGGGGGGGGGGGGGAAGAGCCATTCTGGGTGACATTGAGGAGTCCCAGGGGGACTCAAACTCTGTCCCCTTGGTTGTCCAGCCCATATCATGTCACTATACAGAAATTAAAATGGTGTTATATGAGAGCTCTCAGCGTTATTCCTTTCTGGCACAGGGAAATCTGACAGTGTCAGTTAAGTGGGTGGCACTCCTGCCTCATACTCAGGATGTCCTGGATTAAAATCTTGGTTAAGAGACCAGCTATCCTGACTGACATGTTTCATGATTTTCTCAGTCCCTCTAAGAAAATTCTATGACAGTACCTCAAAACAAGCTGCAGCCACTTCCTTCAACATCCTTTCCAATTCATCATATTAATCATCAAACCATTTGTTGCCACATGTCTGTGCTACCTCTTGCATACAAGTCAGAAGTATTACTGCCAACTTGCTTGGTGCTCTGGTGTAATTTAGATTAAAACTACATAGTAAACCTGTATTTCAGCATCCTGTTGCAAATCTTTAACCAAATGTCTATGTATTCACACTCCATCTATAATGCAACAATTGTTTTATTCACAATTTAACACTAAACACAACATGTTATGGCCACAGATGGCCGCATTGAAACACCTGAAAATGGCCATCTATGGCCAAAACATAGGCTGCGCCATAGCTCAAGCGGTTAGTTGCCGGCTTCCCACCACATCAGCCTGGGTTCGATCATGGGTTTGGTAAAGTGGGAGTTGTGGTCAACAAAGTGGTGCTGGGGCGGGTTTTCTCCAAGCACTTCGGTTTCCCCTGCCAATCTTCATTCCACCAAATTCTCCATCATCATCACACAGGGCAGGTACAATAGTGGCCGCTGTGCCGAGTGGACCCATCTGGACTCCACCCCCCACTAAGCGAAAATGGCCGAAACATGCTGTGTTGAGTGTTAAATAGTGAATAAAACAATTGTTGCATTATAGACGGACTGTGAATACACAGATGTTTGGCTACGTAATAAACACAATAGCTTCAGAATTCTGGAGGTACCACTGAACTGAGGGTTCAAAGAGACATGCCATGTAAATAAGGACCAGGTATCCTGCTACTGGTGGCAAAGACTAATGGGCCTTACTATCAAAATAAAGACATCTAATTTCATCCACACAATATTTTCCTATTACATTAACATGTGAAGTGCTTCATTCAGCAATCTTACCTCCCAAGGTTTGAATGTAAGCAGGAGCATAGCGCACTGTCTGGAGAACAGGTAGCTGCGAAACTCAAGTAGTGATGCCTTACATTCCTTCAGTAATGACCTTTGTGTCAGATTAACTGTCTGACCTAACACCAAACCAAGCCAGCTGTCAAATGGGCACTGGAAGTTGCTAAGCCACTCTGGAGTGTCTGTAAACAGTGTAGATTTATTATTGGTGTGCTCAGAAAATTCAGTTCTCAAAATTCTCTAAAGACAGGAAGGATTCCACCTTACCGCCAACATTAGAATTGAGGACAAACTGTGTAAAGAGAGCATCCAATTCATCATACTGAACCAAGGCTTCATCATAGAGGCCCAACATTTCCAGGACAAAGGCCAGTTCTTCCTGAAAGCAAATGGAGATCCATAATGTAATTATGTATAATTATTTCTACTCAGGTGAGTGAGGATAGTGCAGTCAGTATAGTGACTGGCCACAAACTGGATGGCTGAGGGGTCAAAATTCAAGTCCTGGTAGGAGTAAGATTTTTCTCCTCTCCACGTCATCCGTACTAGTTCTGGGGCCCACCCAGCCTCTTGTCCGGTGGGTACTGGGGACTCTTTCCCCAGGGGTAAGGGCGACTGGGGCGTGAAGCTGACCACTCACCTCCAACTAGTGCCGAGGTGGACAATATGTGGATCTATACATTCATTCCTGCAGCACAGAAGTCTTTTGACTATTATCTCAGTCACTTCCACACCTCCGTTTCAACTTCTGTCGTAAGCGAAACCTTTTGCCACCCAGTTGTGAACTGCTTTACATGACACACACTTCCCACCATAAACAGGAAACATTTCTTTATGAATACCCTTTGCAGAGAATCCTTCTGCCCACAAAGAATGCACAACATAACGCTGTTCTTCATTATTATACTCCTCCAGCATGGTCACAATTTTGACTACTGAAACCAGCCTCTGAACATGTGCATGCGCTTCTACTACCGAGTCTGTCATGAAGCTGGACTGTGCTGCTACCTAGTGATACACATGGAAAATCTGTTATGCCAATTACAGCTGTTTTACTTGCATTTGTGACCTATTTACTGACTCTCCCTCATAGTTCAGCAGAAGTCTGCTGACATTTTTAGGAGCATGATGCCTGCATTGATAACGAACCAAAACCTGACTGAGGAGGAAATTACGAGGAGACTGAACTCGGGTAATGCTTGCTACCATTCAGTCCAGAACCTTTTGTCTTCTGGTGTGCTGTCTACAAACATAAAAATTAGAATATACTTGTACAAAACTATAATTTTACTTGTGGTTCTGCATGGTTATGAAACTTGGTCTCTGACATTAAGGGAGGAACACAGACTGAGGGTGTTTGAGAACAGGGTACTGAGGAGAATATTTGGATTGAAGAGAGACGAAGTGACAGGAGGTTGGAGAAAACTGCATAATGAGGGCCTTCATAATTTGTACTCTTTTCCGAGTATAATTTGAATGTTCAAGTCAAGGAGGATGAGATGGTCAGGGCATGTAGCACGAATGGGGGAGACAAGGAAAGCCAGAAGGAAATAGACCACTGGGAAGACCAAGGCATAGTTGGGTGGATGATATTAAAATGGATCTTAGAGAGACAGGATGAGATGGAATGGATTGAATTGATCTGGCTCATGATAGGGACCAGTGGAGGATTCCTGTGAACACGGTAATGAACTTTCAGGTTCATAAAATGCTGGGAAGTTCGTCAGTAGTTGCAGAATTGGCAGCTTCTCAAGAAGGGCTCAGCTCCACGAGTGACCGAGTGACTGATACATGTGACGGGCAGTTACCTGGAGAAGAAAATACTGACAGAAGCTCCAGCCTGGTTCATTGCGACGTTCCCTTTGGTCCCTTATCACTTCCTCGAACTTTAACAGAGTACGATTATAAGCAGCAAGGAGTAGGTGTCGGATTCTAGCCAGCAGCCCACGCCATGATTCTGCAGATCTTGATTCTGATCGAATGGGGTTGATCACAGACAAACACCTGGCACAACAAAACAGGACAATTAGTATTAATATTACAGTTATCTGGGATATGACACTGTATTTTATTATTTTATTATTATTATTGGAGGGGGTGTGTTTCCCCATGCACCACGACTAATAGCATATTGTATGTCCCCCTTTAATATTCTACCAGTCTCCATACCCTGCCGGTGCTTGCTATCAGCCCCATTCAGCCAGCCGATGCTTACCCATCTACCGGAGGCATTGGAAACTACTTGGGCGGGAAACTTTTTACCTAATAATTTTGCTCAGAGGTCTCCTAGAGACATGAGGATCTTTTACGTGCCATAAATCTAAGACACGGGACCCACGGCTTAAAGTCCCTCCCGGAGAACTTGTTCCCTGAATTTTTCCGCCCTTAAAAATTCCACGACCTCCGCCAGGTTTGATCCCGCATACCTTGAGTCATGAGGTGGGAACGTTACCCCTAGACTACAGAGGCTGCTTATGACACTGTATATTTGGTACATACATATGAGCACACTAGGCCAGCATGATGCCTCTGTGGGAACTGCCCACATTCCAGCAAGTGTGACAACGCAAGCGTCATTGCTTAGCAACAACACGTAAACAACGGTTGCTAGGCAAAAGCAAGTAAACAGCGGGCTAGGGAACTTATAAACATGGCGTCCGGCAACAGCAGTACCTATTACGTAACCGTTTTCCATATGTCCGACTCTAGGTTATATAAGAAGACACATTGAGTGGGAGCAAGAGTTACAGTTCTAGTTTCTACAGTTCACTATTGTTATTATCTGTCTGTGTATACTGTGCAGCTGCAATAAATCCTATAGGACAGTTCAACTAGTGGTTGTCTCTTCATACGACATCCCACACCTCCATTTCTCCTTCCTCCTGATGATGGAAGCAACAGACTTCTTCAAAACGATGTTACCTACTTATCAAACTATACACCACCATACATAAGAAAACTCTAATTCAAATACCCATCAGTATGAGAACCTCAAATTTAGTGAAGATAATAACTCCAGAGCTCAACACGAAAAGACATTTGTATGAACTGAACATTTAGTTTTACAATTACCTATCTCCATGCTTTGACGCAAAATCGCTCCGTATTTTGTCAAGAACTGTGGTTCTAGGCAATAATTTATTTGTCTTTTTAATATCATATGTTTCTACAAGAACAATCATCCAGTCTTGAATGTTATTCTGGCCTAATGTTTTCAGCCAGGCTTCAATTTCTTCACGAACTGTTGTCTTATATACATCCACATCCTGAAAGAAACATTGTACATGTAAGATTTGAGGTTTTCACAGTGGTGATTATAAAGAATGCCATCTTCTGGAATGTGATGCCATGGCTGCAGCAAACTGCTCATGATGGTTCCTCGCTTGCAGATTTTTTTGTACCCTGAAGATGGAGGCGATATGTTCCTCCAAAACGTCAGTTCACACAAGATCTATATGATGCCACATTCCAGAAGACGGCATTCTTCAACATTATACATGGTTCACACAGGTAACTTAACTTCCTTTGATTGACTGATAATTACAGTAGGATTGGCAAAAATAACACTACATCACACAAACTAATTACCTATAATCAGTCAGATAATTGTACTACAAGACAGAATAAAGAGGAGTACCTATGTAGTTGATATCTCAATACTATTAAATAAGAATAAAAGGTAAAGGTAAAGTTGTCCCTGTTCTTAATTAAGCAACATGCCACAGAGATGTATTGGGGAGTGGAGGTATATCACCATGCATAACTTTGGCACTAAATGGAGGTGAATGGTCACCTTCATGCCATGGTAATTTTATCCCTAGTACTCATTAGAGAGGAGGTTGGACGGGCTCCAGAGCCAGTCTTGATGCCATGGAGAAGAGAAAAATCTCTTTGCCTTGTTGGGAATAGAACCTTGATTTCCTGACCATCCAGCTCATAGCCTAGCTGCTATACTGACTGAGCTACAGTGGCTCCACAAAACTGAACGGTATCTGAGAAGATCTGATACACAAATTTCACCAAGACCAAGATCATATGTTACTAGTTCAGTTCAGAATCTTGTTGTCTTCCCATCCCCGATGGAAAGCACAGAGATTAAAATGTACAAAACTATGATTTTACGTGTTGTTTTGTATGAGTGTGTGTATGTGTCTCACCCCAAGGGAAGAATACAGATTGAGGGCATTTGAGAACAGGATGTTAAAAAAATATTTGGACTTAAGGCAGATGAAGCATTACAATGACGAAGAATAACTCCATGGAGCAAAGTCCTTCTTGAGAAGCTAGCTGTTGCTTGGCCACTTAAGAAATTCCTAACATTTTATGAAACCTGAAGGGTTGTTGCCATGTTCACAAGAGCCCACCACTGGTCTCTAATCTATGCCTACAAAATAGGTTCTCCGCATCACTGGAAATTTTCCAAGGTGCACACCAGTCCACAATTTGCACACAGCTTTCAATCTTTTGCATGTATATGATTATATAACAAAACTGTGCAGGTAACAAGCAGAAGTCATTACAAAATCATAAGAATGAACACGTTCACAGTATAGGACAAAATGAAGCCAGACAGAGAAAATATAAGAGGCTTAAACTTGGCAGTGGTCAAGCTCACGACCGTTTAAGTGACTAAGCTGCCATTGTAGCATAAGACACATAAGATGGGCATGATCTGCTTTGCAAAGCCTGGACTTGTACACAGTGCAAAAGCAAGAATTTTTAATAACATGCTGTATGTGTGATGTGCATGCTTAACGAGGTCAACCATATTCATAAGCGACTAACCCATCTTCTCGTCAGAGAGGATGTTACATAAGGACTATGATTGCAAGAGTTCAGTTGCAAGAAAAAATCTGGTTGTGAGTCTCAAGGGGCTTGATGCCAAGATGAACTGACTCTGACTTTGACCTTCCCTTAAACAACAAATTAGCTGTTGGAGTAATCAGTTGTCAGCAGTTCAGCTGAGTGAAGGGACATAAAGTAGCTGGTTGGAGAGTGAGAGAGCTCAGTTGTCAGTTGAATGTCAGCCTGTGAAGAGAAGACCAGAAGAGTTGTGTGAAATGGCTGCCAGCTTGGGACCCCGTTAGTTGAGATGTCAGCTAAGGGGTTCCGTATGGGTGCCTGTGACAAGAGGACCAGAGCATGGGAAGCTGAAGACTCTCCCTTGGGGGAAGCTGTTGCCAGGAAACTGCTAATGGAGACTGTAACAGACCAAGGACTCTAGCCTGTGTGTGCCAGTGATCTGTAAAGTGCAGTTCAGAGTGGTGTATACAAGTGGTCAATGAATTCAATTACCCACTCAAAATCCCATCTATAGTCACACACATCAATCATGACAATATTTTCTGCCTATCTATGCCTAGATCTTCCTAGTGATCTCTTTCCTTCAGACTTTTCTACCAAAACCCTGTATGCACTTCTCTTTTCATCTCTTCTCTCCTCTCCTATGTATGCTGCATGCCCTACCAATTTCATCCTCCTTGACTTCATCATTCTAATTAAATTTGGCAAGTAGTATTCAGTATTCAGTATTGAGGGGGTGGGTTTTCCCATGCACTTAGACCAGTTATTGGTCCATTGTGCATCCCCCTTTAATTTCTACTGTCTCCATCCCCTACCAGTACTGGTGCTCGCTATCAGTCCCTTTCTGTCAGCAAGGTTCCGATCCTCTACTGGCAGTGGTATCTAATAGTGGCAAGTAGTATAGTTATGGAGCTCTTCACTGTACAGTTTTCTCCATCCCTTTTGAAAGTGGCCATTTCGAAGACCAACACAGAGCTTAAACAGTAATACATAACACATAATAAAAGAATTTGTCTTCAACAAATAGTGGACCTTGAAGGATCCGATAGTGTTATTTTCAAAACCACTCATACTCACACAAATGTTTTTGTGACATGTCACTGTATTTATTTCACATGTAAATTTACAATTAAATCATACTGCCAACATAGCACCGATGTTATTATTCAGCTCTGTATTAAAAAGAAACAGGTTTATGAAAGTTGTAATATTTCCATACAATAAATAACAAAAAACAAATTTAATTGCTTTACTAACAATACTGTGCAAACAGCATACATACCACACATTCAGTCCAGAAAATATGAAATATAGGTTGTTGAATTAAATGCCAATCTCCTTGTTTTGGAAGAACATCCTTGCTAAAAGAAATGAAAGACCCTTCAACATGAACAGACTTGACAGCCCTTCCATATGACCTCCGCCATTCAGTAGGATCCTTAGGTAACGCCTGAACCAAGGACGACTCCAAACTTGAAAACAGAGCCGTATCACCAGCACCTGACACAAATTAACTCTAATTACCACTTCTAAACGTAACCTCTTATACAAACGTGATCATGAAATATACACATTACATGAAATCAGTGTACTTACATGTTATTATTGGTTTGTTGTCCATAATACAAAATTCTTTAACTGATGTAGTATCATTGCCATTCATTTCCTCCATCCAACCCAAATTCCTACTTTTCGACAATTCTCCCTCCACACGTCACTTTCATCACCATCCGCCCGTTTCTTCATGTCATTCCAAAATAGGCACCATACTTATTTCAAAATCGTTACTGTAAAATTAACAGTAATCACTTCTGCTCGTTTACTCATTAGTGTTAGTTCATAGTATGGAAAAAAAGTCGCTACATAAATAAAATACTAGTCCAATTGTCCAACATGCACAAACGTGACGTGCTCCATCTTGAAACAACTTCGACTTTTAGGGTCGATTTCCAAGCAGGTCAAACTGATTATTTGAAATTTCCTCATTGAAATATAAATTTCCCTCACGTTTTATTTCGGACGTTAAGGATGAGGTCAGGGAAGGGATGGCGAAGAATTGATCGTAAAGTTGCGGCGAAGTTAATTCACCACTAACATTACAGTATTTTAATTGGTATATACTTTATGCAACTACCAATACAATATGGTCCTGCTGAAAAATGTCACCAAAACAATAACTACGAACAATTCCTGGGTTAAATGTTTGATGGCACAATATTAGTTACCCGTAAGATGACGGAATGTACTCGTGCCCCACCTAATTCTGTCATATAACGCGTAGATTATGACCTAATAGCCGGTATATCATTTAGGACAGTGGTTCTCAACCGTTGTGATACCTCGGCCAGCTAAATTCTTTTTTTATACGACGAGGGCCTGGCATGATTGATGCCAGGGTCCGGTACCTGGTGGCGGACCGGTGGTTGAGAAACTGGTTTAGGTAGGTATGAGAAGTACGGGGAGTCGGAGTTCGGTTCTCGGTATGTTAAAGAGATTTGTATTTTCTGTATAACATTCAGACCTGCTGTGGGCCCCACGTATCTTCCTATACAAAGGGGCTGTGTCCCCGGGAGTGAAGAGACAGGGGCCTGGAAGTGACCGGAAGTGACCTTTTACATAGTTCAAGAACAGAATGTAGCAGCTATATAGTCACTATCCCCGTCCCATTAAATTAATTTATTTTTGATTAATTGATTTGTAAGTTATTTAACGATTCTTTTCCTAATACTAATTGAATGCAGTGGGGATAGGTCAGTCAGTCTAGCGACGGGCTCAGGAAGTGGAGATCCCGGGTTCGATTCCCGGTAGGCCAAGATTTTTCTCTTCTACACAGCTTCGAAACCGGAACTGGGGCCCACCCAGCGGCCTATCCAATGGGTACCCGGGGGCGATTTCCCCGGGGTAAAGCAGCAGAGGCCTGAAGGGGACAATTAACCTCCTAATGCCGAGGTCAAGAAAGGTGGAGCTATACCTCCACTCTTCTATATGTCTTCGTGGCATAGTGCTTAATTATTTACGCAAGGAGACAGCTTTACTTTTTGCCTATGAATATGATTATGATACAGTTAGCAGCCGCGATAGCGCAGTCGGTATAGCAACTGGCTATGCGCTGGACGACGGAGGGGTCTGAGTTCGAGTCCCGGTAGGGTTAAGAATTTTCTCTTCTTCACGTCTTGCTGACCGGCTCTTGGGTTCACCCAACCTATCCAATGGGTACTCCGAGGTCTTTCCCCGGGGGTAAAGCAGTAGGGGCGTGAAGCTGACCACTCAGCTCCAGCTAGTGCCGAGGTCAAGAAAATATGGATCTATACATCCACTCCCCCATACGCCTTCATGGCGTAGTGCTTAATTAGTTAAGTACAGGGACAAATTTACCTTTTATATGATACAGTAAGAGAGGAAAAGGTGAACATGAATGAAAAGTAGAAGTAGGTCTGGTAGGAGCCGGATGTGAAGTATACCACCTTCTCATTCGTCTGAACGAACTGAAGACCCACAACCTGTATCCACTATAATAGTTAAATCATTTGCTTTCCTTACCTTTATACTATTTGTATTATAACAGGCTGTTCAGTGAAGAGCTATCTAAAATATAAATCCTGTCTGCCTCTTCTGTCTCCTTCTGTCCACTCCACCCAGTATATGCCAAGAGAGAACATGAAATATTCTTAGACACTGGAAGAAGTCCCATGAATAATCTACTTCCACATCTCCCTTGAGCTGTTACTTTCCCTTTCAGTGCTCTTCTTTATATCCTCCTTCTGCTGCTCACTCAAATGTTGACAGTAACTGAAAGTTAATCTTTGCTTGCTACAGGCACATGGGATTGGTTGACAATGGCTGGAGGAAATGCAACAGTAGTTCCCATTGGACTTCTTTCACATGTTGGATTATTCTATGCTCCAGCCATGGAAAGAAATTGCATGAACCAACCCATTCTGTATCTCTCTTGAGAAGTTACTTTTTGCCCTCTGGTGTACTTCTTTATATTTTTGTCCCATTATCTAGCCATTATGTTCATATGAACGCTGGCAGCTGTAACTACGTATTAAACTCCACTAGCTAAAAGCGATTTGGGCTGCTTAACCTTTAACGTCTGAAGTGCCCCGTTTGTGCCAGTGATGAGTATAGTCATCGTGGCCAAAGTACCCCGTTTTGGCCAGTTGGGCATTTAAATTTCGCTAGTGGAAACGCATGCACATGCACAGTCCTAACTATTTATTTTTATATGTAGTAATTACCAGACTGACTTGAGTAAAACCATAATAGTGGAATTAAAAGGATACCTAAGTGAACAACAGCAAAAAAGAATATACGTATGAGTTATGCCCAAACTCATCCACTTGCCAACTTTTATTGCAGGTTCTGCAGATTAATATGTTAAAAATATATAGTAAAATTCAATGTACATACCTTTTTTATTGTTATCTGCTTGATGTATATATAGGCTGAAATGAAACTACAGAATTCGATATCACTATGAACGCACAGAAAACAGAGTGCGCACTGTATCTCAGCCACGATGCATGTATAATTTTTGAAGGGATACATATTGGAAAAGAATAATTTGGAATATTAAGAATTACACGAGACAATAACATAAAACTGAGGCCACGCCATAGCTCAAGCAGTTAGTCGCTGGCTTCCCACTGCGGTGGCCCGGATTCGATCCCAGGTCTGGTCAAGTAGGATTTGTGGTGGACAAAGTGGTGCTGGGGCAGTTTTTCTCCAAGTAATTCAGTTTCCCCTGCCAATCTTCATTCCACCAATTGCTCCACAATCACCCTCACCTATAATCTGGGGCTGGTACAATAGGCCAGAAGTGCTCGCAGTACCAGGTGGACTCAGTCCCACCCCACCAAATAATAATAAAAAAAAATAAAAATAATGATAACATTAAGCTGGATCTTGGAGGAATAGGTTGTGAGGAAGGAGAGTGGATAGAACTGACTGGTGGTCATGTCCAATGTTGGGTTTTGGTATTAGCACTGCTAAACTTTTGGGTTCTGTTACTGGAGAATTAGTTTTTCTCAATTTTGCGTGCCGAGCAGTTTGAAGCATAAGCGTGTAAATGAAGGTGTTTCTTTTTTACTTCAATAGATCAAAATCTTGCCAGTAAAGTACACATACAATATCATAGTAGTCTTCAAAAGAGTAATTATGAAGAATTTTAAATACTGACAACTTCACTTTGTAAAGTACTTAAGAGCTACACAGCTGGGGGGGGGGGATCTAATGTACCAGAGCAGGTTACATCACAAGAGATGAAATTCCCCAGGAAAGTGGATGAAGGTGAATAAAATTCAAAACAGGTGAAAGTAAGACATGATGAAATTATGCAGTATTTGCTGTATTGCTTAATAAGAGAAAAATAACTGTTTGTGAAGATTTACCAAGGAATGTCAACCTTGGTAAGAATACAACTTTGTTTTATTATAAATGTTTCATAGTACATACTCTTACTGGAGTTAACCACAAGTGGGTCAAAAAGAGTTACTTTTGGACATTATCTTTTTATAATTTAATATTTACAACGGTCAACTACTAAGTCATTTTGTGATATTTAAATTCATAAACCTTGGAACTCCTTTTAAAAAATGAGTAATGTCTATAGCTTATTATGACACAAGCAAGAACACAACAATATGAGCTATCCTGGACGTGAAAAATAAGCGATATTGAGATGTAAGAATTTTTCACTCTTTAAAGTGTATAAAAATTGTTTTCCAACTTTATGTGTTCACTAATAGAAATCAAGTGAATATTCATGAGGCCTGTCCTTTGTACGTCGCAGTATGTTACTTTCGTTCATGAACATTTGTGTTTTATTACTGATCTGATACACCCATAAACTGCAGCTCTACTGTCAGGCAATGTTTGAGGTTTGGTGGTGACGAATCTGTTTCACCTAAATTACAGTCATTACAGTGGCTTGAAAACTATCATAATATCAGATCATCAAGAAAACACATAAATTCCATAAGCAAGACATTAATTAGCTATTTTTATTTCTACAGTTGCATTTAAGACAGAAAAATTGATATAATAAATTTTGAAACAAGCATTCTAGCAAGACTAGAAAAGAGGCATATAACATTCAGATACACAGATTCAGTTTCACATGACCTATCTTTAGAAAATATTAACCCAACAAAACAACCATTTCTAAGTTTTGATTTAATTATGGGAAATGCACATAAATATACAGTTCTGCTGACAATTTGCCCATCATTTGTACACAGCCCACTGGAATGTATACAATAATATCTTCAAATTATTTTAAAAACTCAAAATTATGGTACTATTAGTTTGAAGACCATATAATGAGTATTTTTTTCAGATCTGAAAAGTAAAAATGAATGAGGTATGTATATATATTATGCGAGTTTTAAAACCGTGGTACACAATTTACAGTAATTTTTAAAACTTATGAATACTATTATACAGTAATTATATTCGACATGTATCACAGAAAACACGTAGGCCTATATATTAATTACGAGAATGCTTTACAAATATGTATACAACAAAGGGTACGGACGATTTTACACACACACACACATACATACATAGCTATAATAATATAATAAAATTATGATATTAAAGCGAAATATTAATATTAATATGGATATTTGATATTTTGATTTTTAGAACAGAATAGCGCGACAGAAATAATGTTTGTGTAATTCGGTAGACTGGACACGACACGACACTTATACCTTCTTACAACCGGGAGAAGGTTTCAACTGGACCAACCTGAAAATGGAGAATTACACAGTAAGTAAGCATTTCATGACTTTCTGTACTGTCACTCATTGTAATCCAGTTTTTGGTAACTGAGATCTAAAGGGTATCAGAAAAGTGTCAAGCCAATTCCAGTTTTTATTCAGGACCATACTAATAATAAATGGATACAGTTAATATATGGTGACTGTGTTCAAATCCACAGACAAGTCAAGGATGGCTTTAATAACACAAATTTGGGAGAAAACATTTGGAATATTTCTGAAGGTACTGTACAGCCAGTGGCTATGTTGTGTCACAGTTTTACACTTTAAAAATTGATAATGTTTCCGATCTCCATCTGTGAATTGAAGAAGTCCACAAATATAAATGAACATGGTGTGTCATCTGTGAATATGAATTGCAGCAGGTGGTGAACATATAAAGAAAATACTCTAAAATTAGAGTAAAAATAAAAATATTTTGTAGGATTTGAGTTTCCCACAGCATTGGCTATGAAGACTTCCATCTTCAGGGATATAAAAATATTTTGTGGTGGTTGAAGAATTTTCAGATATTCTGTAGAAAAATATATATGACTAACAGGAATTATTTTGGCAGTAACATGAAATTTGCTTATTACAGAAACATTCAGAGCAGCCACACACTGGACCATAGGAAGACCCAGAAACCAATAAACCAGTCACTTGCATGGCAGCAACACGATAACCCATATAACCTAGAGTAAAGCAGAACAACATTGCAGTGAGCAGCAGATTGCTTCATCACAACTTGTACATCTGATGATTGCCAATGAGGCCAAAGCAGTATACAATAAAGACAAAGATGAGTGAATACTGAACGAAGTTGCATGTAGATGGCAAGAAATGAAACATAAATTTAGAGGTTATTAGAAGTTGTTTTGTATGGCTGTGAAATGTAGTATCTTATTCAGAACAAAGACCATGAATTTAAAGTCTTGGGGAACAAAATGCTCACAATAATCGACAGCCTATTCAGACACAGACGTAAGTGCAGGTATATTTATCTATGTGCATAATTAAGCATCATGCTATAAAGATGTATGTGGGAGTAGAGGTGTAGCTCCATGCATATCACAACAGAGAGAAGTGACTGGTCAGCTTCATGCCTTGGCTGCTTTATCCCTGAGAAAGCAACCCTTGATATCCACTGAACAGGAGGGTGAAAGGATATCGAGAACAGAAAAATCTCTTTCCCCTGCCGAGAATGTTACCCCCAATTCTTCTGTTGGCCAGCCTGCTCACTATACTGACTGAGCTGTCACAGAAAAGATAAAGTGCAGAATAGATGTTAGAATTGTTACCACAGTCATGTATCTCACACAGGTCAGTCAGTTCATGGATTACACTGTGTTGGGCATGCAGCTCAAATGGTGATAATCAAAAATTGAGAGAGATTTTGTTTGGAAAACGTCTTTTGAAGCTTAACTTGGAAGACCAAGAATAAGATGGAAAGACCATACTGAAATGGTTCTTAGGGCAGTAACATGTGAGATTGTGAATTATAATGAACTTGTTCAGGATCATAACCAATATCAGGTGATGCTGAACCTTTGAGTTTTACTACTGGAATTTCAGTTAAGTCCACGTTGGAGCTGTAAAAACCTGACTGCAACCATGAAATAAGGTGTGTCATGAAGCTCAGTAGGTTTACCCTACTTATGAACTACCAGAATTAATGTATCATTCCAAGAACTTTGTTTTAATCTTGCATATTTAGCATCAAAAACAAAAGATGTGAGGCATATTAGTTATTCGTTTAATGATGCATGTAGGGACTGAAGCAAAATATGGAAAACCTCAGCCAGAATAGCCCATCTGAAGACTGAGATTTGAACCTGGGACCTCTAAAATATGAAGCACAAGTGCTAGACACTTGACCACTTCTTTGTTTCCCCTTGAATCCGTTTGATGGAACAGATCTTGAAGAGGAAGCATATAATGGTATGGACTAGAATCAACTGTCTCAGGACAGGGTCCATGGCTGAACACTGTAATGGATCTTTGGGTTTCACAAATGGCTGGGAATTTCTTGATCAGCTGAAGCATTATGAGCCTTTGAATGAGGATTGTGCTCTGTGGTGTTTTCTCAAAATGCTCACCATTGTTACTCGTGGTTGAGGAGGGTGTTGGTCACCTCAGAGATGGACAACAGAGGACTCCCGTCCGGCTTATCTGTGGATAGCCGTTGTCGCTGGTCGGAGTGCTGAAATCAGCAAGCAGACAATATTAACTGACAAACACGGAAAACAACATCTTAAATGATACTTACTGTATTAGCTTATGGTAACACAGTGTACCTATAGAGCACTCAATGCATTTGCTGCAGGTATTACTAATTCTGCTGGCAGGTGAGTCTACCAGAAACAGTGTTTCTGTCACCTGCTGTTGTAATTTTCATGAAAAATTCTTATTTAGAATATCTTCTTAACACCTGTATTTTGTGTACTTTCAACATATGATGTTACAGCAACACCATTAAAACATTATTGGATTGTGAGTATGTGGAGCCCCTGAGTTATGACTAGATTCTAAATGGTTCTGACGATGTTGTATAACACTCAGAATTACTAGGTTTTTAGACTTTGTCCATCATCCGGTATTTTTTTTATTGCTAGTGGGGCGGGACTAATTCCCTTGTACTGCGGCCACTTCTGGCCTAAGGTACCATCCCCAGATGATAGGTGAGGGTGATTGTGGAGCAATTGGTGGAATGAAGATTGGCAGGGGAAACTGAAGTACTCAGAAGAAACTTGCCCCAGCGCCACTTTCTCCACCACAAATCCCACTTGACCAGACCCGGGATCGAACCCGGGCAGCCGTGGTGGGAAGCCAGCGACTGACTGCTTGAGCTATGGTGTGGCCTATCATCCGGTATACTAGAAACTATAAAACATAACATTTTGGAATTGAATCTGTTTCCTTCCTCACATGAGGGGTGGGGGAAGACACCTACTCAGTTGGGTTCCTTAGAAGGAGCTAACCTCAATCACTTTCTAAAACCAAGTAATTCTCTAATTTACGGTTTTTAGGATGGTGAAGATTCATATCATGGTGTTCTTGGTCATGATACTACATAGTCTCGTAGGTGGTATGAATGTTTTAGAGGAGCATACTGCTTCCATAATGTTCGTAAACCTTCCCACCTACCAGACTATACTACATCACAATGCAATAAAAAACAACATTACGATTTTCTTAACCATTTACATGACATGAATGGGAAAATATTGTGTATAAAGACTGGCTTCTTTAATCTGGATTTATTTACTCCCTGCCTCATCTTCACAGGTACAGCCAGCAACTGGTAGCTTTCTTACACATCAAGGGAAGAAAGTCTACTTAAATAAAACCTAATGGTATGAGTAAATGCCATTCATCAAAAGGTTTATCATAAAATCATCTGTCTTTTCTAAAAGCTGTTCCTGTATTTTATTAATCTGAGGCATCCTTCATGAGAATATAAAAGGTCAAGGCCACCCAGAACCTATAAAATGACTTAAAATGTGATCTAGCAAATAAAAAAGTATTGTTACTGTAAATTAACCTTAATGTAGTATTTTTCTATGAAACTGCATGCCAATTTATAAGTACTGTAATTGACCAATAGCAATATATTACATTTGGCTTATACTACCTATCTGTGGGATGATGAACAGTTAAATATATATTGCGTCATGTAATTAATTCAACATAATTTACATCACATTATTGTTTATTTAGGATTCAGATTATTTGGGTATTTTTGTCATAGAGCACTTTCATGGCTCCCCCTCCCAGAAGAAGAAGAGAAACTTCATGATTGCCTAGGAAGACCTTAGTTTGCAGTTTCAAAAACTCTGTTCTAGAGGGACATTTCAACTAAATCAGTATTTTGTTTATTTATTGTAATGGTAAGGGATGAACACAAATTCTCTTCTGCATAACAAATTGCAATTTTGTGTTCAAGGAGACTACATGTTCTAATAATTATTTTTAATTTATAGCAAAGGGCTGACTTCAGAACATCGGAGCAAAATTATGATTCCGAAGCCGACTTCCTTATTAAAGGCAATACTCAACTGAGTCATTACTTCAGGATGTTGATATATTAAGTTATTGTGAAATGTCACTGAACAACAACTGGATACAGTTGTGAGAATTGTAACAAGTAAGAGTTCGAAAAATTAAAACAGTTTATATGAAGAAACAGCACTGAGATTTGCCTCCTGAAATAATTTTTGCCATTTCCTTTATACAATTACACTCATATAAAGCTGAGTGTCTCTTTTTAACTGTCTAAAGACATTTTTTTTTGCAGAATTTGAGAGAAATACAAGCGTACAAGGTCATAGCCCTTCATTCACCTATATAACATACATTCAGTTATTACCTCAGAGGAATGAATTTTTCTCCATTAAGTGAAACCTAGAAATATNAAATGTGAACAGTCAACACAGGGATAACTATATACTCCACCTAGCTTAGCATTAAAAAATTATTCATTTTACTGACTAAGTATATTTATAGGTACAATTATAAAAGATAAGTCCGTCCAATGTGACTATTTCAGTTTTCTCACTTGATGATTCACTAGCCATACATGTTTCGATCCATCTGGATCATCTTCAGAGGCACCAAACACTTTTTAGAAACCACTATCACAACAGTTGTCATATCAAATACACATGCTGTGAGTGATAGATGGAACATTGTGTACTTGGACATTACATGTGTATTTGATATGACAACTGTTGTGATAGTGGTATCTAAAAAGTGTTTGGTGCCTCTGAAGATGATCCAGATGGATCGAAACATGTATGGCTAGTGAATCATCAAGTGAGAAAACTGAAATAGTCACATTGGACGGACTTATCTTTTATAATTGTACCTATAAATATACTTAGTCAGTAAAATGAATAATTTTTTAATGCTAAGCTAGGTGGAGTATATAGTTATCCCTGTGTTGACTGTTCACATTTAGTCCCATACTGCTTTAAAGAAATGTTCACTCTCATGTGAGTCCCTTCAAATTTGCAAATCATATTTTTGTGTTTAGGTGCAGAGATCTACTTCACTAAAATTTGGACATGATTGCTAAATAATTGTTGGTATGTCCATTTGATCTTCATTATTTGAGGTGTATATCACTCTTCAGTCAGGAATCATATGTGAGATAATGTACACTCCCTCATTTGAGTCAACAGCTGGGGTTGTAAAACTGTTTCCACAGTTACTACCGAAAACAAAGCAATATGAAGCATCTTCTTTTACAGTAAGACCAACAACTGTCAATAGAGACAATCTGTAGTTACAATTACCACCATGAAACATGCTACTGCTGTTCTGATTAGTAAAGTGTTAGAAACGGAAAAGGCAAATAACAAGCAACATATTTTAGAGAAATAGCTACGGCTTTGGTGCAGACTCTCTCATGCACTACAGAACTAGAGATCATCCAATAATCAGTTATCCCTTGTTTTCAGTTAAAGCAGAGGATATTTGAAACACTGACACTACATGCAGATGACTTCATCTGTCCAGAGAGAGCTTATGTTTTGGTGATTTTTGGATGCATCTCTCTGCCTTACATGTCTAGTTGTTACAGAGTATAAAATAAAAAGTGTTTATTTCACTCACTGGGGTGCGTGGTGGTGATACGGAGTGGTGTAAGGATAGTACTGGTGATACTGGTGATGTACGGGCCATACCTCGCTCCCGGCACTAGTCTCACTGTATGCCAGCCCGCCGCTGTGCTGGTGATGATGATGGTGATGGTGATGGGACGTCACCACTTGGTGGTGCTGGTGATGGTGATGGTAGGACTTGGCGCTAAGCGCCGGGCTGCTGGCAGGGTGGGTGGGGGATGCTGAAGACACTGGCTCTGGCTTGGTCCACTTGCAGGTGGTGCCTGGGTCGCCACCACTCATGGAGTTCATCTCCGCTAGGGATTTGAGAGGGTCTGGCCCAGTACTGTTGTACTTCTTGCTGATAGGGCTCACATCTGGCTGGGGATGGACACCATAAGACGTTGGAGTGCCATTCGAGAGGGTGGTAACCACAGGTGTGCCGGGATTGGAGGACACCGAGTTCACAATAACATTTGGGGGTGGGGACCTGCTGCTACTGCCCGTCGAGGCCGTGTGATTGAGGGTCGTGGTGCCACCACTACCCCACATCAGTACTGTCTGGCGTGGCGTGTCGCTTGTCGGGGCAGGGGGTGAGTAGTGATGAGGAAGGATGGCATTTTGGGTTGTGGCAGACTGTACCACCTGCTGGTTGTTCAGGTGGTGGCTTGTAATCTGGTGGTGCGACGGTGGACTCCCCGACTGCAGTAAGCTTACTTCTGTCTTTATATCTTCCAGCTTGGGCGTGATGAGACCATTTGTAGTGGTCGCTGTCGGCGACGAGCCTGCCGAATTTGACGAAGACATCCCGTCCATTGACGGCGAGTGCTTGGAACCCACCTTGCCACCTGTCACTACCAGTTTGTTATGAGTTATGTCACCTATAATGGAGGGCGAGGACGACGTCATCACTATCGGCTGGAGGGTCACTGTGCCTGTCGGCGAGACGGAGTATGGAGACGCAACATCCAGGCACTTACCGCTGGCCACCACGTAACCCCGGCTGCTGTCCACCACTGTTGCGTACTTTGAGGTGGGCGTCGTGTCCACCAGCTGCTGACACGAGTACAGTTTCTCTGCGTCACTCGTCTTGCCAGTCAGCTGGTGGTGCATATGGTGGTGCGTACCAGAGGCCGTGGGACTCGTGTCATACGTGGGTAAGCTGCACGTGGTGGCGCGCGGTGACATGTCTAGGAAGCCGTTGCTCACATAGGGCGTTGTGGCGGCCGCATGATGATAGTCAGGGTAGTACGTGCCCAGCGGCCGGTACTGGTGGAACAGGTTCTCGGTCGTCGCGGCCAGGAAGCGATTGTCTAGCGCCGCTGCGGCAGGATACAGGCTCTGATGGAAGTTGCCGGAGTGTCCCATGTACGTGTCGGCTGGGGATCCAGCCACGGCAGTGGTGGGGTACGGCGTAGTGTACATGTTGTTCAGGTTGGAGTACGCAGCTGCCACGGCAGCAGCTGCGGCGCTGGACGTGTCGGTCGCCGCGATGTAATCCACGGCCGCCATGGTGTTGGGGAGTGCCGCGCCACTTGTCACAGTGGTGCCCGTGGGTGTGCTGGCGCCTACGTGGTGCGTCAGCTTGCGCTTGGTGCGACACGTGGATAGAAAGTCCCGCAGCTGCGTCTTGTAGCGCCGGTTGACCCTCTGCGGCGCCGCAGACCCAGTGGTGCCGTGATGTGAAGAGGAGGGTGAAGTATGGTGAGGCACTGAGCCTACCACTAGCTGGTCGGAGTCCGTGAAGTAACTGTTAGTGAGCCCTGCGTCCAGGTAGCTCACCTTGAAGTCCATGGTGCGCTTCCCGAGCAGATCACGACCTTCTTCCTCCCTGGTAATCACACAAACACTCACGCTGTATCAAACACAGCAGACTTTTTTTTCACATTCATTTAGCTCAGTCTTAAGGCAGGCAAAATTATATCTGTTGAGTGTGACGACCGGATTCTATTAAAAGAAAACTGGGAAAGTCTATGTTATGAACATATATTGAAGTAACAGTGTTATTTATATTTTATTTATCCATGCTGTAACTCAGACTGTATGGTGATTATATTGAATAATGAACTAGAAAGGAAGTGGGAATGTATTCCTCTGGGATCACACAGTCTGTAAGGAAGAGGATTTATGTACTAATAGTTTACCATTGATTTCAACGGCCCTATCACTAGTATTAATACGTTGGAAAGCATTAATGCAGGTATGAATATGTGTGTGATTTTCATGTCCTGAAGAAAGACGCTAACATTTTCAAAAGTTAATAGGATAGCATAAATATCACGTCAGCTCAATGCCATATTACTGATTTTGTTTTTGGTAGGTACCCGATTCGAATCTAATTGCAAATTAGAATATCGTATGCTAATTCCCGCAATCTGATTTGGAGCCAATACCTCTGTATCCTAAGTCAAAATTACGTCACAAACAATGGCCAATTTCAGCTAGGCCTGTGAAATTTGTGTACGGAAATAGATTAAAGCATACTTGTAATTTTCATATGAAGTACTTCTTTTTGTGTGATAAAAATTACGAACAGGGCGAATGTAGAAAATTCTGAGGTTATGTTTAACACTTTGCAGATAATGCGAGTATATAGTTACAGGCTCATAGTAAAGTTGCCTAAGTACCAAACCACGAAGCTGTATCAGGGAGTGGAAGTAAAGCTCCACGTATTCTTGATTTGTCACTAGATGTAGGTGATGGGCTACAGCGGAAATTCTGTAAAGAAGTAAGCTAATAATTGTAGGCTATAAATTTGAATTCGTAATATTTGCTAGTCTCACTCAAGGCATAGATGTCTGTCTGCGTTTATTCTGCGTTTGTGCTGTCCTGTGTGTAGGTAGCGGCCTTGCGGGGGCTGATCACTCGTTCAAGGAATCCTACCGTCTGTGCAAGAAAGATTACGAAAGTGAAGAAGAGGCCAGGGCCCAACGAAGGGCTGTAGAGCCGTGAATGTATGAATATTTGCTAGCTACTGTAAACAGATGAGTGCATTCAAAGGTACGTATGCTTCTAGTTTATATCCAAAACATCTTGACTCATGTTTCATCTGCAAAAATTATTAACAGTTAATCAGGTTATTACCATATTAATTAATAGAATGCAGTAAGGTCTTTGTTCTTTAAAACTAACCGACGAATATAAATAACAAGCGATTAAACAAGTTATCGATAACGGATATATAAATCACAAATAAAGGCCAGCCTGCATAATGGTAGGCGAACAGACTTCCGCATAATGCACCGGCCAAGGTCATCAGATTGCTATGAGTGATCAGGGCGAAAGCGAACTTGTATACATAAACAAAGCCACTGCACATGTGGGCGGGACGGAAACCAGTTTCGCATTGTATGAAATGCGTTAATACAGCGGTTCAGCCCCTTTTTATTTATGTAATAAGGGTGCCTAAAATAACTGAACATCAATGTCACAATTTCGGGAGCCGCACGCATGTGGTCTGGATGGTACAGGTGTTCAGGCACACGCTCTCCATGCAGCAGATTTTTCTTATATTTAAACCATTTGTTAAAAACTGACAATTATTATTTTTTGTGAGCCGACCTAACGGTTTAAAAGAACAGCATCCGGCCCGTGAGCCACATTTTGGACACGTTTGGTATAGAAGATTCCTGAAATCCTGCGAAAAAGACGGTTAAAGAGGTAACATGTAACAGGTCGTTGAGGCCCATAGGATTGTGAGACGTCGATGCTCCCACATTTTCTACACAATCGGCTCACAGATGGCGGTGAGGTTGTCAACTTTACGCTCCGTCCGCCCTTTACCCTCAGGAAGATTCCTGATACTCATTTCTATTAAAGGCTGAGTCGAACCCAGGGCCATAGTGCAGCTAAAAGGAATCGGTGAATTGAAAAATCCCATGACATAATCGGGAATCGAACTTTCGACCTTCCGACTTGTAGCATTGCGCCTCAACCAACTACGCTACCGTGTGCCCCCCTCTAAAGGCCGTTAGTTCATTTTTTATTACCGTATTACACAGAACACGAAGAACTGCATTTGCATTTCTGAAGGATGTGACGTAGACCACACGCTCGGCTCGACCTGCCTCATGTGGTGCAGACACTCTTACAATTAGATGGCTCTCTTATCGCTTATACAAGGGGACTTCAGTAAGTAAGGGCAAATTGACTGGAGATTTAATAAGATCGGAGGTAACCTTATGAAACTTCTACAGCGCGTAGAGACATCTATGAGGCAGGTTCTGACAGTATCAGCCGATGTCTGGAGACACAATTCGATTGACAAAGCGAGAGTCATGGCCGCCCCGCTAGAAAATTGCAACAGAGAGGGTCAAAGTTCTGTAGTAAGATTTCTGTGGCCAGAAGAAGTAAAACCGAGGCAGATTCACAGAAGAATGGTTCAGCAATATGGTGGAAGTTGCATGAGTGAAAGGCAAGTGTAACAGTAGGTACAAAGACTTCAAGAAGGCCGAACATCTGACGTAGATGAACATCGCTCAGGTCGCCCGTGCACAGACAGTGAAGCAACGTTGCTTACGTGGGGGCACTTATTGGTGAGAACGGGCGGATTTCTGTGAACACTGTTGCCACTGTTGAACAGTAGCGTTGCATCTGCACATGGCATTATCCATGAGACTCTCAAATATCACTGTGTTCCATGTGGGTGCCTAAACAGTTGACCGACGAACACGAGTTGAAGCATGTGCAGAGTTGAAGAGCTCTCTTGACACATTATCATGCTGAGGGTGAAGAGTTTCTTGCGCGCATTGTCAGGGTGGGATGAGACCTGGGTTCTTATTATGAACCAGAATTCGAAAGACAATCCATGGAATGGCTTCACACATCCAGTCCGGTCAAGAAGAAGTTCAAGTCAGCACCCTCTGCCGGAAAACTTATGCTAACATTGTTCTGGGATATGAATGGGGCAGTTCTCGAACCCTATAGGAGAAAGGAGAGACAGTCAAGTGTGTAAGGTACAGCACCACGCTGGAAGAGAAACTGGAGCCTCTAATTCGCAGTTGTCATCGCGGATTTCTGTCCAAAGGCGCCCTCCTTAATGATAATGCGCGACCACACGCTGCTGCTGGAACAGTTACTACCAGTCCAGAGTCCCTCCATCCGACTGTCATGTGTCTGGCACGCTTAAGGAGCATTGCGAGAACGGAGATTTCAATGCGACGGTAAGATGGAGACGGTGCATTTCTATCTTCGACAATAAGTCTTTTTTTTTTCTAATGGAACACAGAAGCTTGTGGAAAGATGTGGAAAGCGCATTGCAAAGGACCGTGATTCCATGGAAAAATAACATCTTATTTGGATCTGTACTCGTATACATGATGTGAATCTCAGTATAATGCATTTTGCCCTTACTTACCAAGTCCTTACGTACTTTCACAGCTGCACTGAATGGTTTTACTGCTTCTAGTTGGGACTAATTTAACTGTACTGGGTGACAGTTCGGAACCCAACACTCAAACAGACTTTGGTACTTATTCACGTAACAGAAAGTGTACCACTGTTTCTCACTTGCGAGGAGTAGAATGACAGGAGTAAGTACTCCTAAGTATTTTGATGACTGCTGTTTTCTTGGATGTGACGTGTAGTCTGGTACGTATTTAGTAACGTTTCGGAGGAATTTGTTGTCTCCATCTTCAGGGTACAAGAGTAAACAGAATTTCAAATATCAAATGATATATAGTGTATAATTATTGAATTTATTAACATTATCCAATGTCCTTTACTAATTTATTTAAAATAATATTAAAGAGACCTGACTCTGTCCCCGCCCTCAGATAAAAGGCCTACTCAGTTGGGCACAATCGATAGAGCTAGTCCCTATTTCCGGGCACTACTACAAGGCAGGATATATAAACCAAACACAAGATAGGCGGATTGTCCGATTGGAATAAAAATGGAGCATGTAGCCATATTTTAGTAAAACTCCCTGCTATCAAGATCGACAAGTTCTTCGGAGATATTTATTGTCATATAAACGAATGGGACAAATGACAGTGCGTGAGTCCTCTGTCGCTCTCGCGTTACAAAGATGCATGTCCAAATATTTAAGAGACCGTTTAATCCCACTACTGTGCATGTGACGTAATAATGAGTGTCTCAAGTTCATAGAGATGCGGGTGGCTGGCAGAGCGTTTGCCTTCAAATTATGAGAAACCTCTCGTCCGTGGCAACAGACTTCGGACACGACACGCCTATCAGACCTAAAAATCTACTAGTACGGAACAACTAACTCGCATCGCAATCCCTATCTTAAAGCCAGGATTTTATCACGCTGTGAAGACTTATGGGGGGAGTGGAGATATAATTCCACACATTCTTAACCTCGGCACTAAGTGAAATTGAGCGATCAGCTTCACGTCCCGACCACTTTAGCTCCAGACAAGAGACTGGGTGGGCCCCAAAGTCTGTCTGGACGAACTGGAGAAGAGAAAAATCTTTTATTTCTACGAGGAAATAAAAGTAAAAAGTAAAGTAAAGCTATCCCTGTACCAGGCCGTGAAGGCCCATAGGGTTGTGAGACGTTGAGGGTCCCACATTATCTATACAATCGGCTCACAGATGGCGGTAAGGTTGTCAGCCTTACGCGTCGGCCGCCCTTTGCGCCCAGAATATTCCTCGTACTCATTTCTGTTAGAGACTGGGTCAACCCCAGGGTCATACTGCGACTGGAAGGATTAGGTCAATTGAAAAAAAAAATCCATTGACCTCATCGGAACTTGAACCCGCGACCTTCCGGCTTGTAGCATAGTGCCTCAACCAACTACGCTACCAGGAATCGAACCCTAAGTCTCGGCAACTGCAAACATAAATATGCTAGATCTATTCAGTTCAGGACAGAACCTATGATGGGTTCCTGCGAATAAGATACTGAATCTTAGGAGTCCATTAAAGTTGGGCATTTCTTTGGGCTAGCGTTTGAAATTATCGACTTCTGGAGAAGGGCTTATTGAGTGGACCGGCAAAGAGGTTGTGTTCCAGACACGTGTTCCGGAGATGTTCGTTTTTAATCACGGTCAGGACACGAGCCATTTTTCATGATTTTCCTCAGTCGCTCTGGGCAAATACCGAGATAATATCTGCGGTAGGTCACGACCGCTTCGTTCCAAATAGTTTCCAATTCATCACACATCAGTGACCCTACGACAGATACTGACACAGCCACAGAAGAAGGGCTCTGCTGCATGCACCCAATTTTGTTTGTGGTTTAATTTCCGGTGGTGTCACTAGCCCAGACTGGTATTACATGGCGTCGAATGTTAGGTAATTCATGAAAGGTGAACTGGGGAAACGTAGAAGAAGAGCCCGTAGCCGAGTTAACGGTGCTATCCCGGAGTTTGCCTGGAGGGCCTGGAAAGAATTGCGAAAATCCTCTCAGAACAGCCGATCTCTGGGTCAAGTAACTTCAACCCTGAAGAAGGGAGCACTAATTTCCTCCTCTGTATCCATCTACCAGACTGCAAGATTGGTATTATAACGCGTAAGACCACAATAAGGATTTTCACCGAAGCGATAACAGCATATCTTACACGTGTTCTTAATTCCTTTAATTCCTTTAAATAGTACTTTCGTGGTTCGTATGCCACATTACATGCACTACAGAAGAGGCTTTATCTGGCAGAAAATAAGGCCTGGCGGTGCTTACAAGCGGTTAACCTCGCCGGTAGTAGATATAAATCTCTAAGAAAGGCTTTCAGTATGAAAATTAGGTTAAATCGCCTCCAATTTACATCGTGAGTAGGAAGTGAAGTTGAATATTATGTATGCACAGTTGGCCAGCATCTGCTGTTGGAACCTTGCTCGCCGACAATGACTACGTAAGAACTGTGACAGATCTCAGGTCATAAAGGACAGGTAGAAACATGTGCAAAGACAACATATAACTATATCTCGTTATGGAATCGAAGTAATCGAACTTATATTCGAGAGTGTCTTCAAATTCTCTTAAAAAAATGGTTCATCGTAAGAGGAGATTCTAAAGTTTCTACTTTATAGATTGTCTGTTATCAATACATTGTATTCATGATAGCCAAAATTCTTCTGTCCATCCCATAATGTTTCTCCCATAAGCCGCGTAGAACAAAGAAATGGTGCAGACAGAGGCTATTCCTCTTCGACAGATATCGCTGGGAAAATTGTTAGATTTCGTTGTTACGTGCAAGGGTTCCAGTCCAAGTCAGTTTCTTTTCCCATTATTTCCTCCATAACAGATACGATAATCTAGAATTTTGTTTATGTATGCGAAAATCCAAACCAAGCTGGACAATTTTAGTGCATGAATGAAATCTTCATACAGCCTTTCCACAAGAACTGTGTTCTGAAAATCATAGACTCGACGGGAGTGTCTAGAACCTATAAATGTTGGATACAAAAACAAAACAAAAAAGTAAACTCCGTGGCCTGTAGTCCGCAAGCGAACTATACCGACTGAGCGACCGCCGCTTGTCAGTGAATTTAGTGCCAACTTTAGCGGATAGAGGGTGTCGCGTGGTCAGCGCAACGGATCCCCACGGCTGTTAATCTCGGTTTTCTAGACCGGAGCGGCTATTTCCTTGAAAGAACTCCTCAATTATCTTCACGACGCTGAGTGGACCCCGTTCCAGACCCTCTACTTCTCAGAAAATCTAGCAGCGCCGGGAAACGAATCCGGGATCTCTGGAACTGTAGCCAGGAACTCTGACCACTGGACCACAGAGGCGGTCAGTTGTTGAATACAGGACAACAAAAATTGTTTCGATAATTCAGGGTATATTTTCAGGATAGTTACGTGTGCGCGTACGTGCGTCAATCATCGCCCCCCTTCCCCCTTATTTCTACTAACGACGTACGTTCGCGTTGGAGAGAAAATCTCGAGATAACTGCTGATCTTTTCTGTTTAAAAAACTTAGGTACATTATATAAAAATTGCTTATATGTCAGATACATCAAATAGGTATCTTGTTCCATCCAAACTGTGCATTGTGGGAATGCCATTACATTAGTGCTTAATTATGCAAAGGGCAAATTTGTTCTACCTTTCACCTTTACGTAATCATTGGATCATGGGAACCTATTATATAGT